TTTTTTTTTTTTTTTGTTGTTTTTGTACTGGAAATTGAACCCAAAGTATTCACACTGAGCTACATCCCCAGGCCTTTTAAAATATTTAAGACAGGGTCTCATTAAGTCACTAAGTTGCCCAGACTGGGTTTGAACTTGCAATCTGCCTGACTCGGCCTACCAAAGTGTTGGGATTACAGGTATGCACCACCATGTATGGCTTTGGGCTATGTTCTATGTCAAAAATACCCTGCTAATCAAAGTGGCAGGAATAAAGATAACACAATCAGTCAATAAAAAAAGAGTAAAAACATATCTGGAAATTATAACAAAAATATTCATATTGTTAAACAAGTGCATGAGATCATCTGGTTGGCTCCTATCCTTTTGTGTAAGGCCAATACCGGATTTAGAAATGAGCCAATGAGCCTGGCATGGTGGTGCACACCTGTAACTCCAGCACTCAGTATGCGGCAGGTGGACTAGCGTAAGTTCAAGGCCAGCCTATGCTACACAGTGAGACCCTGTCTCAAAAAGAAAAAGAAAAAAGCCAATGTTCTCCAAAGATTTTTACAGCCACCCTGTTCCTCATTAGGGATTTGGAAACTATTACCAAAGAAGAAACTCCACGGAGCCAGGGCCTCAGAATCCTACCCTCTGAACGCCAAGGTTTGGATTATCGGAGCCCACATGTTAAAACAGGAGGGTGGCAAAGGCCACCAGCTCCCCTGCATGGCACGTGTCTTCACCTCCTCGCTACATTCCTCTTGGCAGAACTCTCATCAACAGCACCACACAGTTACTTTGATGAGAAAGTTTCATGTGGGCAACACATTTTATGAGTTTATATGAACAAGGACACCACAAAAAAGAGGAAAGTGCAGGCTCAGCCAGAAGAGCTGCCACAGAACAAGTCTGGAACGATTCTGTAGTATTAAACACTAAACCATATTTACAAGTCTAATTTGGAAATCAGTGCGGGAGGAAGTTGGGGGATAAGATATGCATGAAATAAAAAATTCTTATCTAAAAAAAAATTCTTATCTACACAGATATAAACACCCATGTTTTCACACTTTTTTTTTGCCCATTTTCTCCACCAGGAACAAATCAGACAAAGGAAAACCCAGCCTCTTTCCCAAAGTCTCTTTATACTAAGGATTTCTTAGAGATGAGCTTACTTCCCAGGAGGCTGGGAACTCCCTGGCCCTACCTGTCCTGACAACCAACCCAGGGAATGTTGGGGACACAGAAGAGGCCAGGAAAACTATGGCTTGCTTAACGTAGGCATTATACGTAAGGGTTTCCGTGCTGCTGAGCACTTTCACACTCAGTCCTTCATTAGGTCCTCAGCAGACTTCCAGCTTGCAGCACCAGGGCTCCGACCAGCTGGGAGACATCAAGGGAGGCAGCATTTTGATCCAGCATGTGCAGGTCAATTGTTTCATCGAAGACAGTCAGTCACACACATCAGCCCCAGGCAAGTCCTCAGGGGCTTGAAGCTGTAAGCCTTGTGGAGTGGAAGCCTGGGCTTTTCCCCTCCCTGGATTTCTCTTTGCTGCTGCCACCACTGGGCTCTCAGCTGCTCCCTCTGGACTCCAGATGGCTTCCTGGTGTGTGTGTGTGTGTGTGTGTGTGTGTGCACGCACATGTGTGCATGTGTGTGCACGCATGCCTAGGTTTTATTGTTCTGCCGCTGCTGCCTTGTCCTCGGCTGCTGGCTTCTCAGCCTGTGGCTCTGGAGGGATCAGGCACTGGACTTCTTCTGTGCTGATGGCTACTTTATCTGGCTGTAACCACCTCTTGAAATGTTCCAAGGTGCTGTGAAAGAGCAGAAGAAAAGGGTGGCTATATCATTCCTCGTGATTAATTACTTAATGATTAGCTTAGTTACTCAAACACTGCCTCCCCGCCCACCGCCAATTTCTTCCTATGATTATTTTTTCACTGCTGATGTAGGGAGAGCAGCAGCACTCCTCTGACAGCTGTACATCCTGGCAGCTCAGAGCTGGAATTTGCCCCCTAGAGGACACTTGGGCTGTAAGCAGCACCAGGTCCCCTTCTCATGCAGAGCCTTGGAAAGCTTGAGGAGAGTAAAGGAAGAGTGTACGTCTGGGTCCTATCTTTTTTCCTCAAAACTGAGAGACACTGTGAAGGGGTGGAAACACCGGAACAAACGCCAAATTATTAGTGAGGCAGAGCCTGAGCACATTTAAATTTCTTTTCCTGAGGCAGTTGGAGGTTCATAACACATATGATAGAGCACTTATTGTAGGAAGTACGATTTTTTTGTGTGGGTTGTTCTTTTCATGCCCTAGCAAGTCCTCAAGATAGAAACATTTGAGCAGCAAATGAAATTTGCAAATTCCTACAAAGGAATGGCCATTACACTGTTTTGTTTTGCTGTGTAGAGAGGAGGGCAATGTGACTGTCAGGCTCACTCTCATCTTCCACCTTCCCTAAGTATCCACACCTTTTATTTTTTTAATTTTTTTGGTTTCTTGAGACAGGGTCTCACTATGTAGTTGAGACTGACCTAGAATTCACTATGTAGCCCAGCCTGGTCTTGAACTCACAGCGATTCTCCTGCCTCAGCCTCCTAAGTGCTGGGATTACAGGCGTGCACCACCATGCCCGGCTTACACTTTATAGCTATTAGGCATTCACAGTAAAAAAAACAAGTGACCAGAAATAGTATGAATTTCATTGCAGGCTCTTTAGTAGCACAAAGCTGTAATGACACACTTGAAACAATGGTCAGTGTATGGGGAATTATGTTTCAGGTAGTTGGGTTTCTTAGCCCATCAATTCCTTGTCAAAAGCACACAAGAGTCACCTACCTAGTCCACAGAGTCCCCTGCAAAATGACCTCTGTTTAAAACATAAGCTGTAAAGTTTGAAAACAAATGCAGAATTACTATTTCCTAGGGTTTTTTCTGAACAATGATACAAGCATTCCCACAGATGGAGATGCAGGGAGCAAGCCCAAACATCAGAGGGGAAAGCGAACAGCTGATTGGTTCTTGTGCCCACAGCTTAGGTGAATCACATGTGACAGAAACATTTAGCTATTGTTCATTTCTACAGAAAAAGGAAAGCAGCCGGGTGTGGTGGTACACACCTGTAATCCCAGCATTCAGAAGGATGAGGCAGGAGGATTGCTGAGAGTTTGAGGCCAGCCTGTCCTACAAAGCAAAACCCTATCTCAAAAACACCAAAGAGGGGTAAAAAAAAAAAAAAAGATGAAGAAAAAGAAAAAAGAAAAGAAAAGGAAAGCAAGGCAAGCCAAGTATAATGGTACATGTCTATAATCCCAGCACTTTGGGAGGCTGAGGCAAGAAGATCCCAAGTTTGAGCCTAGCTTTGGCAACTAAGCAAGACCCTGTCACAAAATAAAATTTAAAAGCCTGGTGATGTAGCTCAGTGTGAAGTCCCTGGGTCCAATCTCTAGTACAACAAAAAAGGAAAAAAAGAAAGAAAAGGGAAAGAAAGGTATGGATGCTCAGAAATGTTCTGAGCTGATTTTGGAGTTAGCATTCCCGTGGTGAATTATGGAGTTTTGTCTTCTTGGAACTGGAGTGGATGGTGAAAGGGAACCAAATCTGAAAAGCAATCTGCAAAGAAATGAGTTTTCCAATCCCCTACCAGTTTTCCTTTATGGCTTTACCGAAAGGACAAGTGCTAGTCCTGAAGCCGCATGGAAGAGCAGCAGCATGAAATTTTTACAGAAGACTCATCTTTCTACCCTAAGTAAGGATTCACAGAACCCGAAACATCTATGACCTACAGGTAACAGCAGCCTGGGGCAGAAAAGCAAACCACCTGGAAATGGCAAGTGCCTGGGTCCCAGCTGTCTGATGCGCCTCCCCCAATCCCCAGGTAAGATGGTTTGCTCCTGCAACCCCCAGGTAAGATGGTTTTTGTTGGCAAAAGCCTCCATCTTTTTTGGTTTGCTAGCTTTGCTAATAACCCCCATCAGCACCACCAAGAACTAGAATAGAGGGTAATACTGATGGGCAGAGGAGATACAAGTAATTACCAAATTATTAGTGGAGCGGTCCATTTATTATGGGTGGGGCAGTTTTAGCTTTAATTAGATTGAGCCTTTGGAGATGAAACAGGCCAAATTTCTATTATTTTCTGAGCCCTCAAGGTAGTTAGCCTGACTGTTGATGCCACACTGATTTCTGATCAGATCTGGGGACATGGTGATTTAATAATTGAGATAAGTGAAAGCACACTGTAAATTAAGAAATAAAATGTTTTTTGTTTGTTTGTTTGTTTTGCTTGTTTGTTGAGACAGGGACTCACTATGTAGTTCAGGCTGGCCTTGAACTCACTATATAGCCAAAGCTGGTCTTGAGCTCGAAGTGCTACTCCTGCCTCAGCCTCCCAAGTGCTGGGATTATAGGAATGTGCCATCATGCCCAGCCAGTAAAATGTAACTATGAAGTTTTATTCTGATACTATCCTTGATTTTAGCATCTTAATCTGACATGATGGGACCCTCAGAAACAATGCTACAGATATGATGCAAACTTAGGTTAAATCATATCCCCCTAAGACCATTTTGGTTTTTTTCTTTCTGGTACTGGGGATCAAACTCAAGACTTTGCACTTGCAAGGCAGGTGGCAGCACCACTGAGCTAAATCCCTGGGCCCTAGACCTTTTATTAAAATTCAGGTTTTCACTCTCCAGAAATTTAAAACAATTTTTTTACATTTATTTTACAATGACATACAATGCTGGGCATGGTGGTGCATGCCTGTAATCCCAGCACTCAGGAAGCTGAGGCAGGAGGATTGCAACAAGTTTCAGGCCAGCCAGGGCAACACAGTTAGTCCAAAGGCAGCCTGAACTACACAGTAGTTCCTTTGTCTCAAAAAACAAAAAAATTCCTACTCCAAAACCAAAAATTGTACATAGTAATATCCCCCACTTATATTTTTTGTACTTGCAATCTTTTTATTCTTTTCCCTATTTTTACTTTGAGTAATTTATTATCAAACTGAAATTCTGCCAAAGAGGATAATGTTTTTTTTGTATTGTGCTTACCATGTACTGTTCTAAGCCCTTTACACATAGTAACTCACTTAATCCTCATAACAATCTTATAAGGTAAGAGCCATTACCCCCACTTTACAGATGAGGAAAGTGAGGCACAAAGAGGTCACTTACCCAAGAGCATAGTGAGAAAATGGCATTGCCCCCCCCCAAGTGTCAAGAGCCTTACTGGTCATTGTAGCAGAATCCTCTCTACCCTTCTGTACCCACGCTAGCTACAGGCCCTGCGCAAGTCCTTCCTCCTTCCCTGGGATGGATAAGGGAGCTCAATGGTCTCTCAACTCCTGAAGCACATTCTGTCACTTTGGATTCTCTCTTATGCTGCTCATTTGTTAAGTATATCTTTTTTATTTTGGTGGTGGTACTGGGAATCAAACCCAGGACCTTCAAACACTGAACAATAGTCCTAGCTCTTTTTTTTTTACTTTTTATTTTGGGACAGGGTCTAGCTAAGTTGCCCAGGCTGGGTTTGAACTTGTGATACTCTTGCCTTAGCTTCCCAGAGTGCTAGGATTACAGGCAGATGCTACCCTAACCATCTAAGGCAGTGGTGGCAGACCTATGACACACATGCCATAGTGGACACACAGAGCCCTCTGTTTGGCACGTGAGCCACATTGCCCCAGCAGGCAAGCATGGGATTACAGTGCACATAAGGGCCATGCAAACGCTCAGGAAGGAATAGTGGTGCCAGACAACGTTACAAGCCATGAATCATGGCCAGTGAGTGTGCTGCCAATGAGATGGATATATACTTCCTTGGACTGGCTGTTAATTTTAATACATATATTTTTATTAACACAAGATTTAGGCTTTGAGCTTTATAAAAAAATTGAAATTTAATATCTAAGATTTAGTAAAGAGGTGTTCTAATTAAGAGACTGAAATTCTTTTAATGTTGTGTTGTCTCTCTGGCATATCTGAATCTGTAGCATCATATCAGGTTGGTTGTGAAGAGTTTATGAAATACCGAATAGTTTCTCTGGTGCGAATAAACTGCTATAATACAGAAGATCCTAATGAGATTACTGACATTGTGAAATGGGAAGAAAGGGGCTAAAGGTGTATGGAAGGTGGGATGGGTAGGGGAAGGGTAATAAGGGAAAAGAAAAAAATGTGAGATAATGAAAAGATGGAAATAAAGTGTTTGTAGATGGGGAGGGGAGGAGAGGGTGAAGGAAGGCCAGGGACAAGGGGAAAAAATGAGAACCAAGACCTGTCATGTAGAGGTACAAGATCCCAACAATGAATGTAACTGTACTGTATCCCTAAAATGTACCAATAAACTCAATTAAAGCTGAAAAAAAAAAAGAATTTATGAAAATAAGAGCTAGGATATCTGTATTTACTTGGACAGGCTATGATTTTAGCAGAGGTCCCTACAAGGTAGTAAATGCACTCAGATGTCAAAAGCTTGGGTTGGGGGAACACGGCCCTCTTGCACTGGTGGTCAGCAAATTGAAGAACTCCAGCTAAGAACCACTGATGCAGATTATTAATTCAGGAAGTATCCAATTCTTTAGTGTTAACTAATGGTGTTAGCTATTTTTGGTATAGGGATAGATTTGTATTTGGTGCTTCATTTTAAAAAAATTTTTGCTTTTATAGACATCAAATCTTGAACACCAAAAAATGACTTCAACAAGAAAAGCAAAACTGAAAACAGATAGTGGAAGATTATTCCAAGAGGCCTGGACAGAGTCATTTGAAGTGACTAAATGCAAGGGAAAGTGTTGTGTACTTTGCGTAGTAAAAGCGTTGTGTGTCGCATATCAAATGTCAGGTGGCACTTTGACACCAACCACAAAAGTGTTGCCAAACTTGGTGAAACTAAAAGAATAGAGTTTCTTAAGGGGAATTTGAGGAAATATCATTTCCAGTATCTTATTTCTTCCAACTATGTTTCCAAAACAAATCACCCGATAGCTGCCAACATTCAAATTTCACTGTGCAGGGCAAAACATTGTAACTCCTCTCTGATGGGGATTTTATTAAAATGGCCATGCTGGCCGGGCATGGTGGTGCACAACTGTAATCCCATCACTCAGGAGGCTAAGGCAGGAGGATCGCTGTGAGTTGAGACCAGCCTGGGCTACATAGTGAGTTCCAGGCCAGTCTCAACTATACAGTGAGACCCTGTCTCAAAAAACCAAAAAAAATAAAAAATGGTCATGCTGCCTTGGAGTAATTCCCTTTTTCATGATTTCCCAAATAAGGACACAACTATATAATGCATCTCTGCGATGCCACTTAGCAGAAATACTGTTGAAGATCAAGTGCTGTGCATGGAAAGTGATGTTAGTACCTCACCAGGGACTTACAAGGGCAGGCTCTTCCTCCATGTGCTCGTATAAAAGCACAGATATAAATTATCGTGCAAGGCTAGCAGTAATTTTGCATTATGCTGTTAGTGACTTCACGAGAGAAGAACTTGTGGAACTGGTGACTTTGCCTGGAAGAAGACAAGCAATAGATATCTACAATGCTGCGATAGAGGAGTTTTGTCACAAGACACAAGACCAGAAAAGGCAGTTTCAATTGTTAGTGATGGGGCATCATGCATGGTGGGGCCAACATCTGGTTTCATGAAGTTCTGTGTTGAGAAGCAAAACATCCAGTTACTCAGTTTCACTGTTTTATACATCAAGAAGCTCTTCCTGCTAGGAAAGACAGCAAAAAATTAGACAATATCCTCATAGATGGCGAATTACAACGGGGCTCATGCTCTTAATTTTCGACAGTTTCAAGCACTTCTTATTGAGATTTGGGCACAGTGTGATGCTTTAGTTATGTGCAATAGTGTCCAGAGACTTAGCAGAGGACAAGACCCAGAAAGATGTGTAGCCTGTGTGGATGAAATTAACTGTTTATGAATGAAAAGGGGCAGGAATGTCCACAGATCACTGATATGTCCTGGCTTAACAAAATGACTTTTAAAATAGATTTTGATGTACTACACTTTGTACTACATTTTGATGTACTGAACAAAAAACTACAGGGTATAGGAAAAACAGCAGAAAGGATATAAAAAAATTTTATACCAAAATATCTGAGAGAAAACTGCAGGTTTTTGAAAGAGACCTTGAAAGTAGGCAGCTGAAATATTTTCCAAATCTAAAATGCATTTAGAAAATTCTACAGTGTGTGCTGACAATCCTATAAGCCATCACAAAATCTATAGCTGCAAAGGAGAATTTTAGTAACAGATTTTTATAGTTCTGTAAGATAGAGAAAACCCTGTCTTTTCTCACTTCTTCAAATAAAGCCAAATTTGAAGAACTTGATCTTTCCTGCTTATACTGGTTAAATTTGGGAAATCCGGAACTTCAAGAAAGCTCTATCTGGAGAAATGCATTCTATGACCTGTGTGCAACAACTGAAAAGACAGAGTGTGAAGGGGTGACAAACAATAGTGTAGTTGGTAGTTCTGAAGTTGTTTCTTCTAAACTAAAACCTCAGTATTAGGGTTTAAGTGCAGTGCCAACACTTTGTGTTAAATCAGTGGGTTTTGACTGTCATCTGGGCACTTGGGTTGCCATCACTGAGCTAGGTATGCCTTCATATACACAGCGGTGCCTTGACTCATGAACTTAATTTGTTCTACAGTTTTGGAAAAGAGGGCCACACTTGTGTTTGTGGGGGAAAGACGGTTGGTTGCGTCACTCAATGCAGTTTGCAAACAAAAACAAAATTTTGCCCAGTGCTTCTGTTTGCAAACCAAATTGTCTGCAAATGAAAGTGTTCATGAACTGATGTGCCACTGTATTTGATTTGTTCTCAATTGGGTCCTCAGACCCCCCCAGAAAAGGAGAGAGACAGAAGAGCCTACAACTTCCTAATAACACTCTTCCATGACACCAAGCACAATGTCACCCTATAACACATGCTTGATAAATGTATTAATTTGGTCTACATATGTTTATTGAGTGGGTACAATATGGCAGGAAACTCCATAAGGCAATGGAGATTCAGAAGTAAAAAGACATGGTTCCAACTGCTGACTGATCACTAGTTTTTTTCAAGTGCATTACAAACCTATAAATGAAAATAGTGGTCCCTGCTCAACTCTACTCAATGTGTGAATGGAATGCAGTTGGGGTCTTTGCCTTTTGGCAAAAATACCCATTCTCAGGACAGGAGAGTTAGCTCAGTGGTTCTGCCACCTTCCTCGCAAGCTCAAGAACCCGAGTTTGATCCCTGGTACCAAAAAAAGAAAAATACCAATTCCCAAAAATCTTCTAGGATAATCTCCTGTTTATTTATTTTTTGGTTTTGGTTTTTGTTTTCTTGTTTGTTTGTTTGTTTTGTTTTGGTACCAGGGATCAAACTTGGGTCTTTGCGCTTGCAAGGCAGGCGGTGGAACCACTGAGCTAAATCCCCAGCCCCTAATCTCCTGTTTAGATAGGCACATTCGGGATACCTTTGGAAGCCACTATCTCAAAAAACAAAAACAAAAAGAAAAAAAAAATCTGCTAGCCTAAGAATAAAAAAAAAAAAAAGCAAACTTATAAAGACCAATTTCAGCACAAAGAACTAATGTTGATATCAATTAATATCAGGACCCAGATACCACTATCCTTGAATTCTTTGGAGAAAGAGAAGTGTTCTCTTGGTGAAACAGACCAGGGATCAATTACCTTTCATCAGAATCCAGTCCGTCTACAAAGAACTCTGATGCTAACTTCTCCTGGAGGAACCGATCCCAGCACTCCTTCTTGGCTTGGGCCAGGGTTCGAAGCATGTCCTTGGACGTCACTTCCTCATTTAAACCTTTGATTCTTCTTAGTTTCTTCTCTAAAGAGATGAGAAATGGAGCTTAACCAGGAAAGTGAGTACGAAATGAATTGAAATGCAAATTTAACAGTTCTCTCACTGATTAGTACATCCACGTTCCCTGCAAAAGGGCTAATTTTTAGAGATAAAAAGGGATCAAATATATTCCTTTTTCTTTCACAGAGTCCTTGTCCTACATTGTATCAGTTAGATGTTTAACCCCAAAAAATGCAAAAGCCATAGGTTCACATAAATAAGTCACTGGCTTGTCTCCTTTGAAATCACATAAGCCAACAGGTATCTCTCTAAGGAATGCTTGTTTCCCCCAGCTTGACATGTGTATGCTATCATCTTTTTTGACTCCTTGAAAATAATGTCTCTGAGGAGTAAATGGCTTTTCTTCTTTTTAAAGTGACATGAAGTGGTTTCCAAACCTTATGAGAAAGAATTAGAGAAAATGATGAGAATCAATAGTACATTAGGCACTAAAATTGACAAGAATGCAATAGTATGAGAACTTTAAGATCTCTACGTATGATTAAATTCTTGATTAAAGAAAAAGAATCTTCCAACATTTAAAAAAATTTTTCAATCTGTGGCCTGAATATTGGAGCGTAATAAAAACAAGCATCTTTTAATTCCAGTGAGAGCAGTCCATATGGTTTCCTGATGATACATGTTTAATTACTCTTCTTTGTATTTTAAGTGTAACTGTTGAACATATTTCTCCTTTTGAAGAATACAAGAAAGGACATCACCGGTTACCCTCTTCCTTAATTCAGTATCACCTTCAAATGTGCCACACAATGTTTTGGTGAAGGACAGACCACACACATGATGATGGTTCCTTAAAATTATATCACTTAGCGATGTCACAGCTGTCTTTGCTTGGGTAAGTACCCTCCCCAGCATTCAAACAATGCTGAAATCATCTAACCGCACTTCCTGGATATCCCTACTATTAAGCAACTGTAAATGTGCACAGGTAAATGATGGCTTCTGGCTTATTTTTTTGGTAGGGGAGGTGGATATCAAGTGCAAAGCCACTAGCAACTTCATGACATGCAATCCTGTTTTCATTTCCAAACAAGTCATGTAAGCTACACCAAGATCAAAACAGAAAACCTTCTGTATACCTGTGAGCTATCACCAAGAGCACATGTATGTAAAAGGCCGGCAAGTTGATAAATACTAATATTTGAGGGGCTTTATCTTTTCCTGAGTATGTAGAGTTATGAATATCTCATGTTTAACTGGCTGTTTTTAATTATTCCTCTTATCAGTGCATTCTTTTTGACACAGGTTTACCGGGGAATAAAAAAATCTTCACATTGTCTGGCCTTGATTGTCATAGTGAAAGGTGCTTTTGGGGACTAGAAAAGGTCTTCCCCCTCTCTTGAATGTGCTAAGTTCCTACGTGTGATCCCCAAAGGGCAGGTAGAAAGAGGAGCTATTACATCCCCCAAACCTGCCTGCCACTGTCATCCAGTCCCAGCCCCTTCTAGGAGAGTTTCTTATAATCCCTGATCACATGGCACTAACCACCTGAAAGGTCTGCTACTGTTGTCTGCTGTTTCTCCTCCTCTTTATCATTAAGCAGGTGTTCTGGTTACAAGCAGAACTTCCAACCTTGTTGGCCGTGGCTACAAGCATTATTATTCCATCTTTGATAGCTTCCCAACAAATTTCATATTACTCCCTCATCTTTCTCGTTCTCTATCATTCTGTGTTTTTCTGCAGTCTATTAATGAAATTCCTTTTGTTTTCCCAAGACATTTCCCTTTTTTTTTTTTTTTTTTTTTTTTTTTT